TCCATCCCATCTTGGCGGGATGGTTGTGATGGCATTGCCATCCCTTCATGTACTGCCATCCCGGATGGCCAGCCTTGGCGGGATGGCACATCACGTGACCTCGAGCCCCGCGATGGTCATACCTGTTAGGATCCCCAGTGGTTTCCCAACCATTCATCGTCATACCCAGGAAGAGGATCCTTCTGGTTGTTGCTTGTAACATGGTGATACAGTGGAGTGGTATACTTGTATAGAAAGTAACAAAAGGTTCGACAACTACTAATCTATTCGATAGACTAACAGGTAACAATCTTGTTAAGTAAAGTAACTAGTAAGAAAGTACAATTTGAGTTGACCACAACGAGTGTAATAATGAAATCCAACACATTCTTATACCCATTGTCTCCAGTCCTGTCCTCACTGTCCTCACTCAATAAACCCTGTATCTTCTGAGGCCACTGAGGACATCCGTCACGTGTTGTGACCGTCTTCACATACTAGCGCGTGATGGTCGTTTTGGCGGGATGAAAATCACGTGATCATCACCCCGCGGCGATCCTTGTCATCCCAAGTGGTTTTCCCAACCACTCGTAATCAGCGTCCAGGTAGAAGATCCTTCTCCTTGTTGCTTGTAACACAAAACTAAATGATGCACATACACGACGATCGATCTAAAACGGCGAGCCTAGGCGCCTGCCAGCTAGCTACTGGCCAGAAGTTTGGCCTCGTTCTTGCATATACTCTTCTTCGCCACCATCGCATCACAGGATAGGACCGCGGTGCAGGAGTAAAAGCAACGTGGAAGTGCAACGCCACGCTAGCGCATGGCGTCAAGCCGTCCTTCGCACACGTCAGCCCAATGACTGGCAAAGCTAGAATCTCAACACAAGAGGTAACTACTATCTGCGTACTACCAATGCACGTAGCCACAGCATTTGGTTCGCTGTGGACGACCGAACGGCCTGCTTTGATACAAGGTATTTGCCGATCTCTATATCGATCATCTGGCATTCTGGTCATTAAACGGCCAAAGCAAGGTGTCAGACTGTGAGGGGTTTTCTGATCAAGGACTTGTGGATAGATCACTGTGATAACTGGCTATGATAATTGGAAGTGAAGATTGGGATTGTATTCTGAGTTCTCTCTGTTCTGGCAGCGCGTAGGCGCGCCGCCTTATTATACGCGCTGTCTCCATTGCTTTTTCTATCAGGTAGACGGCTGAGTATCAGCCTCGCCTATGGTGGGCCTTGGCGCTTAGCTCTGATTGGCCAGGACCACAGAATCCGGGTGCTCGATCGCACCCGGATTCTGTCACTCATCTGACACAAGGATGTAGTAGCCACAGACCTGGGGATAGCTCATTTTAGGCCACCGCTTGCATGGCGGTCTTGCACTTGCATCGCCATCCTGCACTCAACGATAACAAGAACAGAGATATCACCTAATATGTACATAACTTTAGCTATTAGGCGGTATGAAACCATTCAGTCGTACAGGGCATTCGATCCTAAAGGCTTTTGTCCATCTCGGATGGTCTCTTCAATACGCACAAACATACTCCAGCCAACCGGCTCGCTTATCCCAAGTGGCTTGCCAGAGTGTCAGCAATCTGAATCCTACCAAGTCATCTGCGTAGCGCTATGCGCCGGAGTCGCTCTTCCTGTAGAAACCGAACCTTCCAAAAACGATAGTTGCATATCGAAGTCGTTTTTCTCGACAACAGAGTAGTCTCCACTAGAAGTGATTTCGTCGGTTTTCATCTGACATTGTCACGGGTAGTATGCGTCTTCGCCTATATTTGAAGGACCATCCTGGCCGAGTAAATAGTGAACATATCTTCTGTTCCAGTTCTACCCGTGCAAGCGTATCACTGACAAGGGCCCCACTTCTGATGTAAGCTACTGATACCGGTGTATCTAACAAAGTGCATCTCAACCTTTCCCGAAGATTCGTCTAGATCTGGTGACGATCGGGATCTATTTTCGGAGGGTTTTGCGAGATCAACGAGCCTAACTATAGGGCGTGATAGGACCAGCAAAGTTATAAAACTCATGACAGGCTGTCTTATCAGATACAAAGGAGGATGCTGAGATTTGCATTCAAAAGCTAAATTAGGTCACTAACTAGTAACTCTGCGCGTATCATATAGACTATATTTATCACGATGCAATACAGTCTGGCGCAAAGTGTAAGCGACACAGCCCCTTTTTCGCTTGACATGATTAATCATTAATTCCCTTTACTTGCTTACGCTATATCACCAATCTTATTCACATAAGCTGTTCACTCTCAAATACTCACCGTTGCCTGCCATCTGTATAATGCAGCAGTCCTTTACATGATTCCTAAGCTACTTACCAAAGCAATTCATAACCCGCTACTCGGTTCTATAGACGCCCCCAAGCCCACCCAGTGGAAAACTTGCTTGCTTTGGCGGTCCTATCCAGCCTCCACAGAACCTTTCGAATACATATTAGCGAACCACTATGACGAATGATACCATGTTTCTCAACATCGTCGGCGTTCGCTACGGTATCGGCAAGCAGATTGGAGAGGGCTCTTTTGGCACTGTTTTTGAGGGCACTAATATGCTCGATAACCAGCGGGTCGCTATCAAGTTCGAGCCTTACAAGAGTACAGCTCCTCAATTGTTTAATGAATATCGCACCTATAAAGTTCTCTGCGGTCGCCGTAAGTTTTCTGGCGTTACATATTCTCTACCCTCACGTCGTCTACATCATTGATAGAGTACACCTTTTGCCTGTAAGGTGCTTCCCTTGAATAGGCCTACATGGTCTTTATAGGATGGATTGAATGTTCCGTCGGTTTCTTAGCACTACCTGGACTCTACATGCTTCAGGAACTCAACTAATATGACACAGCTGGAATTCCAAATGTCTATTATTTTGGCCGTGAGGGCCTCCACAACATGCTAGTCATCGATTTACTCGGTCCCAGTCTGGAAGACTTGTTCGAGCAATGCAACAGGAAATTCACAGTTAAAACCGTAGTCATGGTCGCTAAGCAGATGGTGTGTTCATCGAGTACTCTTTTCATCTTCCAAGTCTAAACTATGTGTAGTTGTCAAGAATCCAGACTGTCCACGAACAGAATCTCATCCACCGCGACATTAAGCCTGACAATTTTCTCATTGGTAGGCTGGGCTCTATGAGCGCCAACACAATCCATGTTGTGGATTTTGGCATGGCTAAACAGTACCGTGACCCGAAGACGAAGCAACACATTCCATACAGGGAACGCAAGTCCCTTACTGGCACAGCACGTTACATGAGCGTCAACACTCATCTTAGACGGGAGCAGTCTCGCAGGGATGACCTAGAAGCTCTGTGTTACGTCATGATGTACTTTCTCCGAGGTGCTCTTCCATGGCAAGGTCTCAAGGCTACTACTAACGCACAGAAATACAACAAGATTGGCAGGATGAAGCAAACAATTCCCGTTGAAGAGATTTGCAAAGGCTTTCCTAGTTTGTCTACCAGTCTTTTGTCCTGATAAGCATGGCTAAGAATAGCAGGAGAGTTCAATAGGTACCTCATCTACGTCCGTGATCTGGGTTTCGAAGATACACCTGACTACGACTACCTACACAGACTGCTTACTCAAGCGCTTGAAAGCACTGGTGACTTTGAGGACGGTGAGTATGACTGGATGAAACCTAACGGCCATACAGGCTGGAAAGCCATGAAAACAAACTCCGTGGTTCCACAGATGCACCCCTTCAGCGTTCGCCAGAGCTTCCCTACCGCCGCTGTTATTCATGACCAACGTAACACGGCACGTCTGCCATCGGAGTACCACCGCTGGATGGAGTCCCTCCCGAACTGGGACCAAGCTCAGTTTCTATACAGTGAATCGAACCTGATCCAGAGTCAATACCACGCAATACACTCGAATTGTTCAAATGCACAGCCATTACAACAACAGTCAGTCCCTGAGGTAGAGGACTTCATGCAGAAGTTCACCAATACACTCTGTTGCAGGAGCCGCAGATAACAAGCCTGTTGCCTGAACCATAAACCTTTCTTGCATGTTTCATTGCGAATGGCGACTTCGGTGGGGGTTTTCTGCTTGCTGGGTTCTCCGCGCCAAGATATGTTACTCACCTCTTTCTCTACACATAGCAATTAAGATGTGAATGACCTTTCTGAGGCTTTTTTTACTTCAAACTCTACCTTGCCTTAAGATAACTAGAGAATATGACACACAAGACAAGAGAATGCTTTATACTCTGTTCGCAATGCAGTCGTGCAGCTTCGTTGAGCGTGTAACACACAAAATACTTCCTCTAAGATATTTAATTGTTTCTTATTCAGAATCAATGGGTTCCTGTACTTGGACAATATCCTTTTTTGGCACATATGGCACGAAAAAGGCCTTGAAAGTATTATTGAGATGCTTGGGGGATGGGGTTGGCTCAATAGAGGCCACCCTGCTCTAGCTGAAGTTATTCGAAACAGTGCCATGCTGCTCAAAAGCATGACGACGCATGTGCAGCGAATTACTAAAGTGTACCTTGCATAGTCTGCATTTCTCACCTTTGCTCTCGTTGAACTGCGTTAGATGACGTTTGAAGTGTTTGCTGAGGTCACCCGGTGATGCAAAGCAGTATAATCGTTTTTCCAAGACTAGACCTTCGTTTCCCAGACATATGAAGCATATTGTTGGTCTTTTTTCCTTGACAAAAACATCTTTCGCCTCTTCGATAGCCTTCTTCCGCGTATCATCAGTCTCTTGAGGCTTGTAGTTGGTGCAGGGGTCTTCTGCGCGCCTTCTTGGCATCTCTCCTTCTTCAAAAATGCAGTAGTCTTTAACTGCATTGATGGCTTCAACTTTTCGTGTTATCTCTGCTTCAACAGACGATTCAGGCGGCGACGTGGCGGCCAGAATCAACCTTTCGTGCGCTTGTGTTCTTTGGACAGTTTCCGTCTTTTCCTCAAATGCTTTGCCCAAAAGTTGTTGCTGTATATCCTTCTCTGGTTGCGTTTTTTCGTAGTCTTTCCTAGACTGCTGTAACATTTCATAGCGCATTCTCTGCTTTTTATTACGGATATCCCGTTTACACTTTTCGAACTCTTTTGTATCCATGTTCTTTTGTTTCAGCTTTTTCTCCATCCTTTGGATTTCCGGGTCTTTTGCGATAGACTGTTTCTGCTCGCTAGTGAGGGCTCGAGGTCGATTTGGATCGATCGATCGGCTCATCCTGCATGCCGCCTGAATGAGATCTTTCTGAGGTTGCGTACTTCGTACAACCGCTTGTGCATCTAAGCTGATGGTTCTCGAGAAGTAATGATCTTTGAAAACCTTATCATTGGAGTGATTCATGATCCCATTTCGCATGTTGTTGCTAACATCCACTATGGTCCCAGTCAAGTTAGCTTTCCTTTTCTTTTCTACCATCTTCAATTTTTGCTTATCACTCACGGCTCCTATCAAAGGCGTTGCCTGTCCCGTATCGGAAACTGTACGGTTTCACCACTTCTTGAAATCCAGCAATATGGCCAATGTCTTTTAAATGCGTTTTAATAGTAGCATATGGTAACTGGTCGTTACTCATCTTACGTTCTGTTGCTGTCTGTTCGTATCGACGGAAAACCCAGAGATCAGCTGCTTCGTCTTTGATGGGCACAACGAGTTCGTTGCAGCCAGATCGAATCTCTAGCTTGTACAAACGCTCAGGAGTCAGACTATCAATCGAAAAGACTTTGTCAGCAAACATGAGGCCCAGCAGGTAGACGTGAGGGCTCATGTGACGAAATTTGTCGTACTCAATTTCAGGGATTATAAAAGTGTTCCTAGTACATTAGCGGATTCCGCATGGTCGCAGAAGCTGTTCGGATGTCTGTATACGTACGATGGTTTGGATCCTAGGTACTGCTTAGTTACTCTGTATGTCAATTCTATCACTAGTTTATGTGCGCCACCGTTTGGATTTCGCATTATGACGACTTTGATATCTCTATAGCGCAATCCAAGGAGTGCTCCAGGACGATTCGCAGTGATAAAAGCCGTTAGCATGAAAAGGCATGCCTGGATACGGTATCTTCCCATCTGAAAACTCATACTGTGGGTCAAGAGAGTTGTTTCGACGATTCTTTTCACGTCTTCTACGTCTAGGGAAGACTTTTTCCTGGGTTCATAATTCAACTTGAGCTCTTTAGCCAATGCTGTTGCTTCCTTGTAGATATGTTAGCGCTTCTTATGGGGTGCGACCGGTTAAGCAAAACTAGTACAACTAACCTTTAGAGTTTCTCTTTCGAGTTTTTTGCTCATTGTCTCCCCTGTCAACTTTCTATACAATGTGAGGAACATCTTCCTGTGCGTGGAGAGTGAACTGGCTGATTTCATTCCGGAAAGCTTCCTTCCTTCTGCTCCTTTAGTTTGCTGCAGCCTCCACTTGAGATAGCTTGAAAATGCCTTCCCTGAGATAGACCGCATCTTCGTCTTTGGGTCATGTTCTTTCGTTTTGCAATATCTTCATAGTGTTCAGCTTTCGAAAATGGAGGGTAATAAGTGGAGATGAAGGGGAGAAATGGTGATGAAAGACTTACTCTACCCATTGCTCTTCGATACGCTTGATCTGGCGCTCCGTGGTTTCTGCATAATACCCTGACGGATAGCTAGATCCATTTTCAGACATTTCATTGTCGCTAAGAACATCCATTTGTGATTTTGAGTCGTTTCCAGTGTTGTATTCGAGGTGCTTGTGTGACAAGGAGGAAGGTATCGATACGGAACTCGTGCGATTGCAATCCATAGCTGCTATTCACTACCACGTCCTTCAGAATTCAAAGGCAGTGGTCAATAAAAAAATGATGTTAATTTAGTAATGAAAAAGTGGATGGGCAAACAATTTCTACGTGGGTTTCTGCTAGAGCCGCGTGCAACAACCCGGGTTTAAGTACACAATCGACTTGATGCACATATACAAAAGACCGTGACGCGCCTGAATAAGCTAATTATATTACTACTGGGATTATCCTTGCATGTACACAAGTGGGAACGACATGGTCAGCTTACGGTTAGCAGCTAAAGACAAGGTTATATTCCTACGAATCCACTAATTGTCGCATCAATCTTCATTCGGTAATCCGGACAAGTGCATGCGACGCTCAGCCACCAAGTAAAATAGAGAGGTTTTGTGGCAAGTCAGCATCTAAATACCGCTCCATTGTCTTCTGGAAACGGTAGCCAATTCGCCATCTTATTTTTTAAGATAGTAATAAAATCTATCTATTATTATATGCTTATTGTTTCTAGTCCTATAATCTCTTCTATGCTATCTTGGCAGGATGGTCGGGATAGCACTGCTATCCCAGATAGCTAGTCTAAGCAGGATAGTATATTACGTGACTCCGAGCCCCACGATGATCATCCTGTCCTTTGGAATCCGTAGTGGTCTCCCAACCATTCGTTGTCATACCCAGGGAGAGGATCCTTCCTGCTGTTATTTGTAACAGGCCAGGCGAACCCGGACAGTATTGACCAAGGCAGAGTTGGATCCAGTTAATATCGAAGCTGATTAAGTGTGAGAGGTTCATGCAGCTATAATCCATGGATAATTCAGGCTTGGATGCATTGAATGGGAACGCTCCTCTAGGTCGAAGGATCAACTCAACGTGCCGCACTGCGTAACGAGATATATAGTGTAACGAGACTTTACCTCAATCCGACCTTCGGACTCTTATTACAATAGTTATATAGCGTTAAATCACATGCCTTGCAATCCTATCTATACTGTTCTATCTACCTATTATACTCCGGTAGTACATAGTACAGTAAGTTGCAAAACTATACGGGGCCAGAAAAGCAAAAAAGTCCTTAAGATGTAGCGGGGGAGCGTAGCACACCGGACCTGAACATGCGTTTGACGGCAACATAGTCTCAGGAAAAACGAAAACGCGATATGGCACGGGATACCTATAGACGAAGAAAATTGTCTTTTCATGCTTGATTAACTGAAGCTGAATGAGTGCGTTTTTACTCAGGAACATTTTCGGCCTCCCAAGGCGGCAATTCTTTGATACATTCAGAAGATGGGCGTAGGTTTACTACTTCACCCTTGGATTCTTAAGATTCAATCCTGTTTTAATACGTCTTAGCTACTGGAGCTCTCCAAAGCAGTTCTAGATGCGGTATATTAGATGATGCGTGGGGCCGGCAGGGTTTGGGTTAGTGTAAGACAGCAGGTTGTTATTTCGTGTTTAGAATCTTGAGAAAAGTATTTTGAATTAGAGGCCCAGCCTGGTGTTGAATTTACATAAAACAAGGGAATGAAAATAACCGATACTAACATCACCTCTCTTCAAGCCTTCGACATCTCTTACAGCATGACAGCCATGCCCTGAGCGCTCTTTCCTGCACCCATTCTTCCCAAATCGAAATGCTGTATCTGCTTCATTGAACCCTTTCCTCCCGACACATCCAATACTGTGATTGCTGCATTCGTTGTTCCATTACCCGGACTGAGTGCGTAAACAAAATCACCTGCAGCGCGGAGATCGACAAGACCTGGATCGCCGTTTGCGGAAAGATCGAGCCCCTTAATGATACTCGCATCGTCCAGGCTCATCTCTACAACCCGATTCACACCAACATCAGTCACAAATGCGCTGTTTGTCGAGTCGGAGATGGTAGCCCAGCAGGTTGCTTTCTGGCCTTCAATTGTACCTGCGCCCTGGACAGTTGCCTGACCCGCCGAGTCCACCTTCAAGACGGCCGCACCGAATGACGCATCAGTGACAAAAAGTGACGAAGGGTCTTTGGCCATAATCGCAGAGCCGAATAACACAGCCGTACCATTGGGCGAGCTCTGCATACCCTTTGTTGAAACTTTGTTTGCGCCACCTTGACCAGCCTCGATGGGAAATGTTGAAAGAAACCCAGTATTGTTCACTGTTGGATCGCCTTTGACAGTGGTGAACAACGTTTTCTCATCTGCCGAGAAGAAGGTCTGTGATACAGTGTTTAGCGGTCCTACAGGCGGGGTCGTTTGCCCAAGGTCAAATGGCCGTAGACCGTCCATTCGGCCCATGCCTTTGCTAGAGAAGCTCGCACAAGAGATACCAGCTACTGCGCCCGAAGTTCCAACACATGCGATTTTGTTCTTTTTTGATGCAGCGACAGTGTTAGGGAACTCGCCTGGGACCTTGACCGGCTTGCCCACACAAGTCAACACTGTGGGGTCTTGGTTCGAGATGGCCATCATGGTAAGTGTGTTGGAGCCTGCATTGACGGCGAAGAGGTTCTAAGAAACGTGTTAGCTTCTCGTGTTCTTTTCCAATAGGCAACATTCTAAGATATGGTAGTAAACTTACATTGCCAGCCACTGTCAATGAAGACTGCGATGCTAGTGCGTCGGGCCCCTCCGGTTTCCCCTCTGCGTTGACAGCGGCTGATCCCGTGCCGCCTGTCTTTGCCATTTTCCCCGCAGATAGCTTGCCGTCGGCTCCAATGGGTAGTGCAATGACGGCGTTTTCAGCCTCGTTGGTGATGAGGTAGACTGCCTTTCCGACCTTTACGGCCTTGTTGGATCCTTGAGGTGTGCAGCTCATTCCATCCTGCTGCTTTCCCTGCTTCATACCAGGACCATATTGTTGATGCGGAGCCGCCACTGCCAGCAGGGGGAGCAAAGAGAAAAGAGCGGCAGTATACATCATGTCCACTTTTGAGGAGTTTTATGTAATGAAGGAAAAAAGTACTAGAGTATTAAGGAAGAAGACGGGGTAGTTGATGTTGAGACGCAACGTTGTAAGTGTTGAACAAATCTCAGCTTTCCACCCCTCTTTATACACAGCTACCTTCTCCCTCTACAAGTCACTGCACATCCGATCTACTTAGTATTACCCACCAGTTCTCTCTCAGATGACTCTATCAAGATTTCCTAACCTGGCATAGCGCCCGCCTCGCAAGTAAAAGAGGGTCGTGCTTACCACAAACTGCATACATTGCGGGCGTCATAATAAGACCGCCAGCCTATCCTGAGGCTTTGGCTGTGTGTCAGAAGTGCTGGGAGCTTCACGCGAGCGGCAATCGGGTACACGGCTAAGTGCGAAACAGATTACATGTATCAGGGCACGAAGCAAAGACATGTTGCATCGATCTTTACTTGAAAAGGCAATTTGATTCTCGAAGCAAAATTACCTGTTACGGTTAGGCGTGGAACAAGCCCTTTGCGCTCGGTCTCTCCCTGCGCCCTGTCACCCTGCCCCCATGATTCCCCTCTTTGCGCATCCCTCGACTAGAGCAAGCAAAAACACAAAAAAACATACGACAGCGGGGATTTGCCAGTGGTCACCCGCCTGACTGCTAATTCGCCGGTAAACTGCTCAAGTACAGTTGATCGAACGGAGAATTCTGCTCTCAGTTTCCTATGATCGTATGTACTGGGTGCAAAATTGGAGCTTTCGATATAGCGAGTGCCTTGGGCAGGAACCATGGGGGGGCCGGTGGCGAGCGGGGGGTTTTCGGGGGGGCGTGCCCGCGCGCGCATGTGTGAACCGACCCCCAATTTGACGCTCGCATTTACAGCCTCTGGGCGGTCTGCCAGCCAATGGCGATTCGGAGCAAGGCGCTTAAGGTTTGCAGATCCATCGCAGGAGGAGATTTGTGCTGCGCATTGTGTTGATGACTGTGGGGATGCGGTAGTACTACTTATTACTAGTACTGAGGTGATGCCTACGTACCACGTCGCTCAGCCCGTGTCAGAACATCGTTTGCCCGTGTGAGCTGAGCTACATATACACCCAACCACGTCTATATCGAGAAACTGGCGCATTAGTCGCAACGACACGTGGCTGACAGGCTCCTTACGCGCTTTCCCGTCTTTGTCTCGCTCTCTTTTTCTTGTCAGGTTGTCGGCCGCACAGACAGTGACAGATGAGGAAATTCACATTCAAGCCTTTCAAAGGCGATAAGACGTCTTCTGCAGATGGTATGTGGCATGGGTCCCTTTTCACATCTGTCGTAAAGAACAATGATAGATGCTACAAGGCTTAGTGGTCTCACACGTGTGGCAGATTCGGCAGAACCTCGAAACCAAACACAGAGACGAAGAGAGCAGGTTCGTAAAGCACAAAAGTATGTCACATAGGTTTATTCACTTTTGTTTCTGCCATGTCCCACTGAACATGTTTCTGCTGGTGATATCATCAAGTATAGTATTCTTTCTGCCTGTCTTCCAAACCTAACCTAACGTTTAGAACCCACCGCGAACGAAAGGAAGCATACGTCGCGTCACTAGAAACCGAAGTCGTGCGCCTTCGTGCCAATGAAGCGCGCTTGGAGTTCGAAACCAAAGCACTGTATGCCGAAAACAATGTGCTGAAAAGACTCCTGACACAACAAGGCATTCCAGTGCCAGCGGAAACGGCACGAGGGCATCCCAATGACATCGCCCATGCATCCTCCACCAGCCCGGACAATTACTCAACCTCCTT